AGTGGCATTTTTGTAAATAGACACCCCTAAATGACATTTTTATAAATGTGCACACAAAAAATGGTATTTTTGTAATTGTCTCTTTAAAATAATACAGAAGGAGTATTACTTTTACCTTATTGGACTTTACTTCGTGCACTACAAAAGAATGTCAAGTCCTAGATGGTTTTACTTTTAGCATTGGTGAAAGTACAAAATATTGGTAAGTTCTAGATAGTGCAAGTACAATATTTGACTTTTTAACCTTTTCTTCCATTTTCGATTTATTACATTTTTACTTAGAGCATTGGAGGTTAGTGAGTTTTTTAATGGATTGCTAATGGATTAAAAACAATTAAATAATCTTAACATTCCAACTTAGAGTTGATAATTTTAGCATTTTAGAACCTCAAAAATGGGTTGCTAATGGGTGTTAAGATTATTTAATTGATCATTAGCAATCCATTAAAAAATTTACTAACATAAAACATTGTTAAGTCCGATTATTTCTAAACAAGTGACGACCATCCGTTTTGTCACCGTTATTTCTAAAGATCTCTTTTCCATATTTGAAAATATCAAAGATAAAAATGCAAAAGCTGATTCTCACAAGGCACATTACAATAAAAGTTTTATCTTTTGGATATTGAAGGATCTATCCTACTTATCTTTCTTATAAAATATTCTCTCTTTTGATTTCTGGCACCCCTCTGCTTTTACCAGATTGAGAATTTGAAATTGTTTTTGTTCAATTTGGATTGACTTATAATCTTTCCCTTCAGGCAAGACATTGATGACACAAATGATTGATTTTATGTTAAACTGAATTGTTTGATCTATGTTACACACTGTAATATTCTGATTCACTCTATTGTGAATGCAGATAATGGAAATAACGGAACCCTTTTGTTTGTTTAGGACCAATGCGTGGTTTCGATTTCCGGGTGAAATTCAAGGTTACTCGTTGGTGTATTTTCTCTGTTATACAAATATCATGATGTTTTTTATATGCTTGTTAGACACAAGAACCAATCATGAACCCAAGACTGACCAATACAACAATCGCTAATCCTTGGAAGATAGCGTAATAGCGTAGAATAGTTTAATCTCTCGTCCTCGAGTTTCTAGATAATTTAGCTTTAGAGTATGGTAAACCATAAGTGGCTTTTGATAGATCATGTAGGAAAGAAAACATCCACGGGGCTTGTTGTGAACTTTTGGCATTCAATCCCGACCAAAAACAAAAAAAAACTTTTGGCATTCAATTATTTGAGGTCTCTTAGTTACCTTTTAAAATGTTTGAATTTGGACCATGCTTTCGAAATATATCGACTCGAGGAAGATATTGAGATTTATGTCCAATATTTTGGTGACAGGAACTCAACACATAGCCATTGTGTGCTATAGTTTAAATCAAACAAACATTTTGGTAGCCACAATTCTGGCTTTGTTTATAACTCTTAGGGGTATAGATGGTGGTCCTCACCAAGCCACCAGTCCACTCACTGTTCTTTCAAATCAACAAGAGCGTCACGTCCTGGGAAGATAATTTTAGAACAATTCAATATCGTGCAGCGAAGAATCTTCATACAATTAGCACATCGAACCTGCAAAGAAAACAACCCATCAATACCACCATCTCATCAATATCTTCAACATGAAATATCGATCATTAACTTACAATGGCACGACAAGTATTTGTGGTTGGTACCAGATTTTGAAAAACAGGTTAAAGTTTCATATAAGATTCAATAGCTTGATTAACCGTAGGTAGGAAGAAGGATCATAGCTATGCTAGGCTTGATCTTGAGATAATTCCATATTTCCCTAAGTATTTTCGCAAACGATTCCTAGCTGATGAATTAATGCAAGCTTCAACAACTGAATTTAAAATCTATGAATACCAAAATGCGAAAATTGCGCAATAGTGAGAACATGTAATCAACAATACTAAATCATTTTCAATTTTTTTTTTTCAAAATCAACTACTCAATTAACCGAATTATTTGAACTGAAGAACCCAAAAAATTGAACTCGCAAAGCTAATATAATCAAATTAGAATTAAAATGGTTTTGGAAAACTTCTGATTGGCTTCGTAGGTTTGAGAACTTATTGTTAAAATTTAAGTTAAAGTTCTTTTTCAAATCGAGAGGTCAAACATTTGTCTGTGAAGTTAATTTTTGCAATACTATTAGTATTAACAACTAACAAGA